TAACCACTACGCTACCAGAGCTCATATGTTAAATAGGGCAAGGCAGTGAGAATGACAATTTAAGGGCAAACAAACTTCTCTCATATTCAGGAAGTAGTTGCAGCAAACAAAGACAATAAAGTCCAAAACCAGATTCTTTGTTAAAATAGACAAATTCCTGAGTTTATTTTTGTAATTAGAAAATAAATGGGAGTCAGTTATTATAATGGTAACATTCAGGGAAAAAATACTACAGAGGTTACTCCTGGAATTCAAAATCTGTTTGACTTAACTTCTCAAGGTGTTATTGTTAAGCGCCATCAGTTAATTTCGAATCAAAGCGACCCTGTATAGGGGTCTGAGAAGTGGCTGGTAGGTTTTACCCACCAACCTTGCAGTTAGCAGCCACTCTGTTGCTGTTGTTAAGTTGTTGTCAAGCATTGTTGAGTTGGTTCTGACTCATAGCGATCCTGTAAAGGGTTTCTGAGGAGCAGCTAATGGGTTTGAACTGTCAACCTTATGGTTGGCTGTCCAATGCTTATCCTACAGCACCATACCCAGACCCCACAGGGTCACACTAAGGCTCCACAAACATTAGCAAATCACTGAAAATAATAACCATTTGAAATTCTAGCAAGATTAAACAAAATGTCTAGAGGTCCTGTGCAAAGCTTATTTTTATATGGAAGAAATACTTTTATATGGGAGAAATTAAATTATTAAAGGAACTAACCTATTATTCCTCTTCACAGAACTAGTTTTCAAATGAAAATTAATCAAATGTATGCACTTACCAGACCTTCCTCCCTGTTTTGCGAGCTTGACGTATTCCGAGTCAGTTTCTTTTATCCAGTATCTGCGAGTCCCAAATGCATTCCCATTTTGTCTGTTTCCAAGATCACTAAGCCCTGGGATCTGCGAGACTGGTGGGGCATCTACAGCCTTCTCAGATCGCTTCACTGGAAGATGGTAATACCAATCTAGAAAAGTGTCACTTATGCATCAATATCATGGTTTGGTTTGTTCCACATCCTACAATAGATCTATGTTAGTTGAAATGTCTGATACGCTTTATAATTATCTTTGTGCAGCCAGCACGATTGGGGGCCACACACACAGCAAAGTATTCTAACAAGGGAAGAAACTTTCTTCTTCTGAACACTGCAATGAATTGGCACCTGCCAGTCATTTACTTAAAAGTCTTCAAAATCTTCTAGAACGTCAACTGCTAACTCCAAAAGAAAGAACAGCATTGTCCAGGAGCCTTCTATTTTCTTTTTTCTCTGCTGATGCCAACCCTCCATTCTGATCCTACTCTATGGTGTTTTAGATTCGTCATTGGTATTTCAAACCCCTTTGCATGTTTGTGCATGTGTGTGTCCTTCTCTCTCTTTAATCATCCATAAAATTGGAACTTTACTGCATTTCTGGTTTTCAGAGGAATATATAATCCTGAAGGAAACCCAAGGTGGTGTAAACAGTTAATATGCTTGTTGCTAATCAAAAGGTTGAAGGTTCAGACCCACCCAGACGTGCCTTGGAAGAAGGCAACCTGCTTCCAAAAGATCAGTCATTTGAAAACCTTATAGAGCACAGTTCTAATGTGACACACATGGGGTTACGCTGGTATGATCCTAGAAAACCCCAAATAACTTTTTTAATGTTGTGGGTAAGTCTATGCAATATTTGGTCAAGGTTTAATAAACTCTGTTATTGGTAGTTGTCGTCAAGTTACTTCAATTCATAATGACTTTATGCATACCAGAATGAAACTTTGCCCAGTCCCGCGCCATACACAATTGTTGGTATATACGTTGGAGTCCATTGTTGCAGATTGTACTAATCCATCTTGTTGAAGGATTACCTCATTTTCACTGACCCTCTACTTTACCTTTGTCCTTCCCTAGTGTTTGGTCTTTCTTGATGATATTCTCAAAGCAAGCAAAATTTGAAATAAAAATTTGATCCCCAAATAATAGCTGTTGTTCTAACTTTTACCAACTTTGCAAGAGTACAGAAGAGATAGGGCTGGGGCACTGTCACATAAACCACATTTGCTGGAAATTTTTATTTGAAATCCACTCATTTCTCACTACCCACAATCCCAGAGACTTGTAGAAGGGCACATCCTCTTATCAGAGGCAGGAATCCTCTCATCAAACAAGCCTTCCATCCTCCATTCCAACATTTATTTGTACTTGAGGTGAAAGTAGGGCATCATGAGAAGTCACAGTGAAAAGCCACCAATGTTGCAGTTGTTAATGAATTGCAGGGCTTTGAACAGGTTTGAACTAGTTCAATCATGGCTGGCTCAGCAAAATCTGAACAGACCTGAATTTGCAAAATGTGGGTGTACCGGAACAATAGCCAGAATGGAAAAAATTACAGGTTGAAGTTCTGGAGGAAAAGACTTAGGAGAGACACACTGAGCCGAGCCTAATGTGGGAGACTGAATTATTGCCAGAAATGTGAAGAGGGACACATATTCAAAGTTGCAAGGTTGGCCAGCATCTTGGAGCAAGGCACTGCCATTTCTGACTCTGCCAATCCATAGATTTGCTTGTTATGCAATGCATACCCCACACTGCCACTGTTTTCTATAAGGGAGATTTCGTTTCTAGCAGGGAGTCAGTTTTAGTTATCTAGTGCTGCTATAACAAAAATACCACAGTGAATGGCTGTAACAAACAGAAATGTAGTTGCTCACAGTTTGGGAGGCTCCTCCCACTGCCACAGAGTCAATTCCGACTCAAAGTGACACTATATGACAGGGTAGAACTTCCCCTTTGGGTTTTCAAGACTGTAATATCTTCCTCCCTCAGAGTGGACTCCAACTGCTGACTTTGCAGTTAGCAGCTCAATATGTAAACCTGCAGGAGGCTAGCAGTTCAAACTCAGAATGCAGGTTCTAGGGAAGGGCTTTGTCTGTTGGTCAGTTCTGGGGAATGGTCCTTGTCTCCTTTCAGCATCTGTAGGTCCCGCATTCCTTGGAGATCTCCATGTGTCTTGGCATCAGTCTCCCCCTAGATCTAGAGAAAGGATTCTGCATCCAAATGATGCACTACACTCCTTGCTCTTCATTCTTGGTGGTAATAGCCTTGCTTCTCTGCACATTTCTTCCTCATTTTACCTTTGTAAGATAAAAGATGTTGCAGGCCACACCCCTAATGAAACTTCCTTTCAATGGACTGGCTCCTCAGAACAGATTTCATCCTAGAACTGGTTACACTCATCATGGGGAATTTCCATGTCTTAACAGCCAGCAAAAGGAGCTCTGGTAGTGTAGTGGTTATGAATTGGGCTGCTAATCTCACGGTCTGCAGTTCGAAACTACCACCTGCTCTATGGGAGAAAGATGAGGCTTTCTGCTTCCATAAAGATTCACAGCCTGGGAAACCCTGTACAGGGTCGCTATGAGTCAGAACCGACCCCACAGCTTAACAACAACAACAACAGACAACCAGAGTCCTGGTGTGGTGCTGTGGGATAAAGCATTGGACTGCAAGATCAGTTTGAACCATAGGGTCAGCAGTCAAATTCACCAGCTGCTCCTTGGAAACCCTATACAGGGTGGCTCAGCATAAAGACTGAATGGAGTATGGGGAAAGAATACAACACTGGCACACACCTTTGCTAATGTTAAATCATTCAGCGATCCCTTGTTCTATTCAAACCAATGCCTCTTGGTCTATGTACAGGTTCCTCATGAGCACAATTAAGTTTTCCAAAATACTTATTCTCCACGATGTTGTCCATAGCTTGTCATGATCCACACAATTGAAAGTCTTTGCATAGTCAACAAAGCACAGGTAAACAACTTTCTCGTATTCTCTTCTTTCAGCCAAGATCCATCTGACATCAGCAATGATATCCCTCATTCTACGTCATTGTCTGAATCTGGCTCAAACCTCTGGCACTTCTCTGTTATGGACAATTGCAACTATTTTTGGATTATTTTTAGCAAAACTTTACTTGTATGAGATATTAATGCCTTCTACATCCATTAAGTCACTTCTCTTTGGAATAGGCACAAATATGGATCTCTTTCAGTCAGTTGGCCAGGTAGTTGTAATCCAAATTGTCTTGGCATAGATGTGTGAGTGTCTCCCATGCTGCATCAGCTTGTTCAAAGATTTCAATTTGAATTCCGTCAATTTCCATGTCCTACTTGTATATTTGAGTTACGGTGTTGGAGGAGAATATTGAAAGTACCATGGGCTGCCTAAAGAACAAACAGACCCGTGTTGGAAGAAGTGTAGCCAGAGTGCTCCTTGGAGGCCAGAATGGCCAAACTTCGTCTCTCATACTTTGGACATATTGTCAGGAGGGACCAGTCGCTGGAGAAGGATATCATGTTTGGTATGGTTAGTGAAAAAGAGGAAGACCCCCAGCAAGATGGATTGGCAAAGTGGCAGCATCAACGGGCTCAAGCGTGGCAACAATTGTGAGGTTGGTCCAGGACCAGGCAGTGTTTTATTCTGTTGTGCATAGGGTCACTATGAGTCAGTACCAACTCGATGGCACCTAACAACAACTGAAACACTGGGAAAGAGGTCCTATAGAAAAGTTGTTTGGCATAATAGTGTGAGAGAAGGGAGGAGAGGAAAACTAAGTATGCTTGCAATCTGTGCTTCTTCCCAACACTCACATGAGACCAGTACAAGCAAGGCCTTGGGCAGGGAAGCTGACTGATGATCATGGGTCTGGCAAAGTAATGCTATTCCCTAAGTGGCCTTGTCAGTTTCGCACAGCCAGACAGAAACCAACCAGCTGGGGTGGGGCTGTATGAGACTTTCTGAAGACTTTTATGGGAGGTATTGGGATCATGGCGGCTCTGGAGGAGTTTGGGTGTGGCGCTGTAGGATAATCACTCAACCTCAAGGTGTGTTTGACAATTCAAACTCACCAGCCACTCCTTGGAAACACTATGGTCGCTATGAGTTGGAACCAACTTAACAACACTTAACAACAACAACAACGAACCACAAAGTTGGCAATTCAAGCCCACCAGCCACTCTGCAAGACAAAGATGAGACTTTCTGCTCCCATAAACATGTTCATCAGTACTGATTCAATGGCACTTAACTGTCAGTAGTTACAGGTACTGGAAAAACCCCAAGGATTTGAAGTTGTTGGTGCTTACTTATGAGCCCACAGAGATCAAATATCTAGGGACATTCAGGCTATACGTATCTTAGGTAACACTTTGCATCAGAAATTGATTAACCAGATATCCAAGTGTAAGAAAAAAAAAAAATCACAGCTTATTGAAAACATTGGAAATAAAATCCAAGAAAAATGCAATTAATGTGTCACAAGTGACTCAGTATATTTAGCAACACTTATTAAAATTTATTATTACAAATTTATGAAGTTTATAGTCTAATTATCATACCTGCTCAAGAAAGGTGCACAGGAAAATGGCGTTGAATAAATTAATTCATGTAAGCCCAGAGTAAGAATGTTTCTTAGAAGCAAAATGGGGGAGACCAGTATCTGGAGAAGGACGACACGCTTGGTAAAGTAGAGAGAGGGTCAGAGAAACAGAGGCAAACCCTCAAGGCGGTGGACTGACATAGTGGCTACAACAATGGGCTCAAACAGAGCAACAATTTGGGGGTGATGCAGAACTGGGCAGCGTTTGTTTCTATTGTACACTGGGTCACTATCAGTCAGAATGGACTTAATAACACCTAACAACAAGACGTACACAGTTGTTCCATAAATAAGAGGTAATTGTTCTTTAACCAAAATGCTTAGACATTCAATCTCTATGTAGAAGTCTATTTAGGTTTACTACATAAAAAGAAATTCAACTTAGCAAGGAAAATCTCTTCAATACCTAATAGACACATAATTAACTGAATCTACATTAAACTGATTACAAATTCTTTTTAACTTAAAAAAATGCAAAAGATTGAAAGATTGCAGATTACAAGGAATCAACTTAACCAGGAGTAGGAATTTAGCAGCTTTATATTCTGATCATATTCCTCACAAATATTTTCTCTTATGGAGCAAAGGAATTAGATTCTTGCTTTATTTTTCCTCTCCATGTTTTGATTACTAATTAATCCACAGAGAACCGTGTTATCTTCTACCGTCTTCTCATTACTGGAAGCTTCAGGCCTACACTGAACTCTAACCTGGCTGGCCATTTTATAAATGTGCATGCCAAAGGAGCTCAGAGACCAAGGGCAGGAAACAGCGAGAATCAATCCTCAATTCCTAAAACACACATACTTTATTCAGAGTTAAAAGAGTAGCTAAATGATTCTTTTATTTAGCTGTTCTCACTCAAAATTAGAAGTCCTTATATGGCACCGGAGTACTGGTGTGGTGCTGTGGGTTAATGCGCTGGACTGCAAAGTTGGTTTGAACCACAAGGTTGACAGTTCAAGCTTGCCAGACACTCCTGGAAACTCTATACTGGGTCACTATGCATCAGAACTGACTCGATGGCATTTAACAACAGATGACACCAGACCATTTACGATCATACAAATTTTAGTTAAACATTCTTCTCCGAGATCTCCTATGCTAGGTACTAGCACCTTTATTTTATGAATAAGGAAACAAAGGCTGCAAGAGACTATGAGACCAACCAAAGACCCCCTCCCCACCACAATAGGAATTTGCAACCCAGATTCTCTGGGCCCAGTGTTTTGTAAATCATGGAGGTTTAGGCAGATAGGCAGTCTTTAGTCAACTTTAACCTCAGAGAACAGGGATTAGAACATGTATTGTGGAGCCATATTACCACTTGTTAGGGGTGTAACTTTGGACAAGTTACTTAAAGACCAGTTTCCTCATTCATATAACAAGGCTGATGATACTTCATAAGATAGTTATGAAGTTCAATGAGCTAGGAACCAATGGTTTGTCATTCAGCTTCAATGCACACTCTGAGAGATGGGGGGACAGGGCAGGTCTCTAGGCCTGGGATCTTCATTGTTGTTCTGACTTTCCCTCTAGTCCTCAGCCTAGCCAAGGGGTTGATCATCAGTTAGCTCTGTGCTAGAAGTATCTCTCCCAGCAGAGCTTCAGAACCCTCGTCTCTACCCTCTTTCTCCTGCCTTTCACCAGATGCAGAGCAAAAACAAAAACAGGTGAAGAGTTTGGGCGACAATAACTTTTTAACAAAATTTTGATCTCACCACTCGTCCTCTGCATACACACACACACCCGCTGGATTCTTAACCCGTCCAGCAGCTAGATTAAAGGAACCCAACTTCTTTAGCCTTCCAGCATTAGCTCCCAGGAAAGGTACTCACCACAGGGCGCATAACGGTTCCTGGCTCCGTAAAGCTCCTTGTTCGTGCTCCTCATTCCTGGGGTCTGTGAGCGCTGTTCATTGGGAAAGCACATTGAGCTGGGTGACCATTAAGCCCCTGGTAGGTCTGAGTCGGAACTGACTCCACAGCACACCACCATCACCACTAATTTAAGGTCAGCAGTTCAAACCCACCAGCCACTCATCGGAAACTCTAAACAGGCAGCATTTAACCGGCCCGATGGCACTTTAAAACGAATTCAACACTGCAAAGTCGTTTGAACTTCAAGGTCGGTGGTTCAAGCTCATCAGCTGCTTCTCGGAAACCCTATACAGGATCGCTAGGGGTCGGAATCGACTCGACAGCACTTAACAACAACAACTCGACAGGTGCTGACCAGCTGGCGGGAGCTGCAGCTGTAAAGGTGAACAACACATCTCCCCGGGAGCTGTTTCCTGCTCTACTCAACACCACTCGAACAACTGACAACGTGCTAACACATCATGTTGTGGATTCAAGTGGGCAATCAATAATGCGGAATAAGTGAATTTATACCGTTTTGGAAGTCTGCTTCCCGGGGTGCCCAAGCTTCCGTTGCGAACTCACACCGTGGGTTTACAATTGAACCCAGGTACAGAAGATCCAGAGTCCTAGCCCAGGCTCACCTGGTCGCAGACAGGTTTCCTTGAACGGCGGCCTCAGCGACCAGAGGCTAGACTGAGTATGGACTGGCAAAAGAGACAAAACCCAAACTCCCAGAGCTAGAGCAGCAAAACTATACAACACTCGTCGCCCGGGCAACGCCAGTCTGAAAAGCCTGCTAATCCGGTGCGGGGCTCGGGGCGCCAATCCCGGGAGTTTATGGCGCAGCTGCCAGCCAATCACAGATAGGGACCTGGCGCGGGTGCTTTCGGTCAACTTCTTGGGGCTGGGAGTGGGGCGGGATGATACCGCAACGCAGCTGTTGGAAGGCGGGGCGGTGAGGAGATGGGCGGAGCGGGGCCAAGCCTGCAAGTCTTCACAGTGCCCTCCCTCCATTTCTCCCTGTTCTGCAAGCTGAAAGCGAAGAGAACTTAAAATACTTACTGAGGAAGATCAAAGACCACAGTATGGGTTAAACCTCAATGTAGAGAAAACAAAAATCCTCACCTCTGGACCATTATTGTCAAAGACTTCATTTTGCTCGGATCAGCCATCAACTCACGGAAGCAGCAGTCAAGAAGTCAAACGACATACAGCATTAGGCAAATCTGCCGCACACGACCTCTTTAAAGTGTTGAGGAGCAAACATGTCAGCTTGAGGACTAAGGGGCGCCTGACCCAGGCTATGGTAGTTTCAGTAACCTGATATGCATGTGGAAGTTGGGCAGTGAATAAAGAAGAGTGCTGGGATTCCTGCCTTCCGCGGGGGTCGTGGGACACGAGCGAATACACGGAAACGTCAGATGAAGAAATGAATACAATTCGAGAGGCTTTTCAACTTGTGCTGTCCTGCTACTCTCTCCAGCTTCTGCCCTTGCTTCTGCTGTCTGCTCTCTGCTGTCTGTTCTCTCTGCTGTCTGCCTGATCGGCTCGCCCCTTCTGCCTTCTGATAGTTCTGCCTCTACTGGCTTTTTCCTCCTCTGCCCTCTACTTCTTTCTCCTAGCTCTGCCAGCCCAGCTCAGCAAGTCTTTATTTTTTATACTTAAAACTACACAGTACATAATGAACTAACACTTTGATCTTTTCTTGAATTATTACACAATCACAACATTCTTACACCTGGTCATTAGACAACTTTGACAAAAATATTTCTGTGATGTTCAACTGACCTTCATCTCTTTCCTCAGCATATGATAAACGGTTTCTTCTTGTGTCCACTTAAAGATTAAGTCAAACCTTACACAAATCATTGCTACTTATCAGACTACTGATTACACTTTCTTAGTAATATAAGTTTCTACTAATCATTAGTGCTTGCACTACCTCATTATTCCTACTAACTAGTTATCAACTTTCTATCCTGCATAATGTACTATTATTTTTATAATAAAGGTATAACTAACATCTACTTATTTATTTTTCTAAAGTATTCATTAAATTGCTTGGAAGTTATATGGCATAAAACCCAACATGGCTAACTGCTACAGGAAGTATAGATTATTAAGTTAAAACTATCCTTCACTTAAGTTCATTATTGTCTGCTTGTTTATGCAGGTGCTTGTATGTAGGGGTTTGTGAATTCTAGCTAGTGACTGAATGTGGTGAGGTTTATGGGGGTAGGTCAGCTTGACTCTAAATGCTATCTGCTTCTGTGGCCTCACAAATGCAGTTACTTAGGTTCTCTATGAAAGGGAGTAATTTACACATTTTCTCTTTGTATTCAATCCACCTAAGGCTGAAAGCAATTGCTGCTAAGCTAGTTTTTCCTAAGGTTTGTAGAACTCATAGTGAAAGGCTGTGAATATTGTCAAATTATATATTTTTATAAGTAAATTTAAGATTACTCTATAGAAAAGGTAGAAAGCAACTTCTGAGAGCTATCTGTCTTGCCAGACCGCTCCACAATTTACCGGAAACTGTGTCAAGCGGTAAATCGAAGCTGTCCTCTACCCTCATTGCTCCCACCAGAAGAGGTTAGAATTGATGCATTTGAGTTATGGTGTTGGAGGAGAATATTGAAAGTACCATGGCCTACCAACAAGAACAAGCAAATCTGTGTAGGAAGAAGTACAGTCAGCGAATAGGCAGACTTCTCTCTCATACTTCAAACATATTATCAGGAGAGACCAGTCCCTGGAAAAGGACATCATTCTTGGCAAAGTGGAGGGTCCATGAAAAAGAGGAAGACCCCCAGCAAGATGGATTGGCACAGTGGCAGCAGCAATGGGCTCAAGCATGGCAGCAATTGTGAGGTTGGCGCACGAATGGGCAGTGTTTCGTTCTGTTGTGCATAAGGTTGCTATTGGTAGGTGCGGACTCGATGGCACCTAACAACAACACCTGTGTCCAACAGGGAACCCTAATTACTCGCAAAGCAATTCACAAAACAGGCAGCATCTATCACATTGTCCAAACAATTATAACCAATCCACCTTAAAATGTAAAAATTGCCAGGATATTATATTATATTGGTGGTAGGGGTGTTGTGCCGTGAGCGACCCTACATAGGGTTTCCGAGGCTGTAAATCTTTATGGGAGTAGAAAGCCTAATCTTTCTCCTGCGGAATGGCTGGAAGTTTTGAACTGCTGACCTTGAGGTTAGCAGCCTGATTCGTAACCGCTATGCTAGTTATGAGGCTTTCTACTCCCATAAAGATTTACAGCCTCGGAAACCCTGTACAGGGTCGCTATGGGTCAGAACCGACTCGACAGCAGTTAACAACAACAACATGCTAGTGTTATGTTATGTTATGCTATGTTATGCTATGTTATGTTATGTTATGTTATGTTATGTTATGTTATTAAGTGGTTTCTAAGGAGCAGCAGGTGGGTTTGAACCACCAACCTTGAGGTTACTAGTCCAGGTCTTATCCTACAGCACTATATATATAAATAAATAATATACACATTCCATTCATAAACTATAGGCATCAGAAGATGCTTCAAAAAGTTCATAGAAAAAATGAAAATAAAAGATAATGGAATTTTCCCATGAAATTTTTGAAGCACCCCTCCTACATGTATTGCAGATAAACTCATATTTGATTATATATACATATTTTTACACAAAGAGTTATACATATATGAAGCAGCTGCAAGAGTTAACACCTAACAAAATCCAAGATACTAAAATAAAATAACCACTGCCATCAAGTAGATTCCAAATCACAGTGCTCCTTAGGGTTTCCAAGATGAAATCTTTAGGAGAGAAGACAATCAACCTTACCTTTCTCCTGCAAAATGCCAACACCAGGGCTCCAAAGGGTGTTTGGTTTTAGACAACGATTTGCTTATAAATCATGCCTTCAATTAACACATTGAGAGGGTAGAGAGAGAAAAACAAAACTAATCAGCATTTGGAAAACCTCAGCATATAGTTAAACATTCCTGCCAATTGTGTAAGGAGTCCAAGTGGGAATAATGATTGAGAGTTCAGGTAGGTCAGGTGGAACCCATCAGCTACTCTGTGGGAAAGCAAAAAACTAGTGGTACTGTTTTTTTTTTTGTTTTTTTTTGCACCTGTTAAGATTGCTGCTTGGTGCGTACTGTGCCTGCTGAGATGATGCCCGAGACATTCATTACCTGGGCCATCGCCTAAAGTAGATATCTTGCAAGACACTGCTGAATGTTCACAGGAAAAACCTCCACCAATTACTGCTTTTAGACCTATAACTAGACTAAAGTCTCAGTGAGTCCCAAAAGGTGAAATACAAATTCTGGCCCAGGAAGAAGTATACTACACTCCAAAAGAACTGCTTGATTTTTCTAGTATGTACAAATAGAAACATGGAGAATCCGTTTCTGGGAATGGCTATTCAGGGTATGGGATAATGGTGCAAAGAACATAAGCTTGGATCAGTCTGAGTTTATTGATATGGGCCGAGTAAGCAAGATTCTTCATTCAGTGTTTTAGCTTGAGAAGTCAGGAAAAGATACAAGATTATGTGGTTGGTTCACTGAAACATGGATTGCACGCCTACAATTCACCAAGTTGAAGTACCATACATGCCTACGTATCCTATAAAGAAAGAAATCCAAAGACTTCAGAAATTAGAGTACATTTATCAGGATTGACCCATTAATCCACACATGGCGTGCCCAGAGGACACACCCTTTACCACAACAGTAAGGAAGAAATTTGTGAAGGAAGTGCCAGCCTCATTAAAGATTGTTGTGATTGTTATTTTATGTAAGCCAGATGTGACAGTAGGAACTGTCATAACTGAATTAAGATACCTAACTACAATGGAACAAATTAGATCCCATGGTGGTAAAGGACTATCTTAGTGGCAGCACGTAATCAACAAAAACAAGGTGGGTGACGTGATTGTAGTAGAAAGCAGAATCAAAGTATTGATCAAAATAGTCTGACTCGTGTGCATTTATGGTGTTGGCTACTTCAACAGAGTGTA